GCTACACAGTTATACTTGTAGTGGTCGACAGGCTGAGCAAATATGCTCATTTCATTCCTTTGAGACACCCGTACACAGCAGTATCTGTAGCAGCAGCATTTGTGAGGGAGGTAGTCCGCCTGCATGGGATACCAGAGTCCATCATTTCTGATAGGGACAAGGTGTTCCTGAGCCATTTCTGGAGGGAGCTATTCAGGATGCAGGGAACAGTTCTGAAAAGGAGTACAGCCTATCATCCACAGACTGACGGACAGACAGAGGTGGTGAATAGGAGCGTGGAGACATATTTGAGGTGTTTTGTGTCTGAAACACCAAAGCAATGGGCTAAATGGCTGGCTTGGGCAGAATACTGGTACAATACTTCTTTTCATTCAGCTACCAAGATGACACCTTTTAAGGTATTATATGGGAGGGACCCCCCACATTTGGTACACTACAATCATAGAAGTACTCCAGTATCGGCAGTGGATCAGCATTTGAAGGAGAGAGATCAGATATTGGAAGAGCTCAAGAGGCATTTACTTAGAGCCCAACAACTTATGAAGAAACAGGCGGATGGCAAAAGGAGAGATATACAGTTTGCAGTGGGGGACAAGGTATACTTGAAGCTCAGACCATACCGACAGAGGACTATAGCCCAAAGGAGAAATGAGAAGCTGGCAGCAAGATATTTTGGCCCTTTTGAAGTGGAAGAGAGGATCGGAGAGGTGGCTTATAGATTAAGGCTTCCTCCAACAGCCAGAATACACTCCGTTTTTCATGTTTCACAGTTGAGGAGAGTGGTGGGGGAGCATGCAGTCAGCCCAGAGCTGCCCAGCACATTGAGTGAAGATATGGAAGTAACAGTGGAGCCTCTAGCGGTAGAAGGAGTGCGCATCAACGAGAAGGGGGAAAAGGAGGTGAAAATTAGGTGGAGCGGCCTCCCAGACTATGAGGCTACTTGGGAGCCACAGGAGAGGATTGCAGAGCAGTTTCCAGCTTTCCACCTTGAGGACAAGGTGGTACTTTGGGAGGGGAGTAATGTTAAGTCGGCATTGGAGCCGGCTAGACCGGTCCACCCTGGACCGATCCAGGTCTTCACCCGACGGAACCGCGCGCAAACAGGCGGAGGAGCGCGACGTGATAGGGCGTTTTAGGAGTCTTTTTTTAGAGATATTTTGAAATATTTGGGGTAGTGAGGTCTTTTGTAAAACTCCTTTATGGTTAAATAGAGTGAGAAGGGGGGATTAGGGTTATCTTGCATTTTGAAGTTTCTTGAAGTTCTTGTGGTTTTCTTGTTTTGGGCTCTAGACTACGGCTAGAGATTGGAGAGTTATTTCCTTCCTCTCGAATCGAAGGAAAGTTATCTTGCTTGTTTCTTGCATCATACAGGGGAATACAATTGTTTGCTAGTGTTTTTCCCTACGATTTCTTCCATCGTTCCCATTTTCTATTGTTTTTGCCGTATTTACTGAGAGGACAGCAATTTTATCTCTTGGATCTTTTGGGTTTTGGTGAGAAACACTTGTAAATCCAAGTGTTTCCTATCAGTCTATTCATATTCTCCCTCTGTCACATTCTAGATTGACTATAGGGGGTCAAAATGGGGTGTGACATGCATTACCCTAGCAAACATCCCAAAGGCAACTCTAGGTGATTGCTTCAATTTAGTTAAGGTTTTCTTCAATTTGCACATCTTGTTAGTTGTTTCATTTCCTTCAAATCTTGGAGTTCTCATGTGGATTTCTGCTTTTAGATCTTCGTTAAGAAAGAAACAATTTACATCATATTATTGGAACTATCAATTGAAGTGCGTTGCAAGAAAAAATCAGGATTTTTACATTGTTTATTTTTTTCATTGGGGAAAAGTTTCTTGATGGTCGACTTCATATATCAAGATGTAACATTTAACGACCAATCCTGCTTTATTATCTTTAAATGGAGCTATCGACATTAAATTTTGGCCTGATATTCTTTTATTATATGTTTCCTCGTTATTAAGGATATTTGATTTTATTTTGTTTTTTTTTTCTTGCTTTTTTTTTGCCTATATGTATATAGGTATATGTTTGTTTATATTAGAAAGATAATTCATTAGATGTATTCTTTTAGAATTCTCTTTTCTAAAATGATATCAGAGTCATGGTTTAGCATTATCTTTATCTTCTCTAAATAAGCTCATGATGTCACACTCAAGCTTTTCATCATGATTGTCCCGTTCTCACAATTCCTTTTGATTGTGACCAATTTCTCATTACTAGCTTCTCCCTAAGTGAGATACTCGTATCTACTTTCAACCACTTAAATACTTGACATCCTTCTCTATTTCTCACAAATATGCACACATTTTTATCTGCATTTGTTTCTAGCGGTGCACCAATGTCTTTTGTACTCATAAAATTTACCTATATGTTGGCATTCTTTATCAATATATTTGTCAACATTGTTTACTGTTGCATCGATACCTATTTTAAAGGATCTTATTGTTGGCTTCAATGACTGATTTGGTTGTTGATTCTTTGTGTTCAAATTTTTTTGTAGGATCAGTTATTGCTCTTCTTGCATGACGCTGTAATCTCCATGTCCAAAAAAAAAAACTTCAACTACTTCATTTTTTGTCACTATTATTTCCAAACTAAAGTTGACATCTTATATAATACCTCGAGTTTATAGGGGAGTGTTACCATACCTAAATTATCATATGGCTTAAGTTTTTTATGATAGGATTTTGCATTTTATATAATTATAATAAATTATCATTATCAATGATAATTTATTTGTTATTGCCATCTTTTAATATAGATATATGCTCACTTGTATGATCGGATTAGAATGTCAACTTAATGAAGTTGTAATATTATTTTTCTGACAAAGGAATCATAAAGAAGAATAAAAATCAAACAAAAATTAAGGGAAGAACTTATTAATTAAGTGGAGAAAAAAGGGGAAACACTAAACCTAGGAGGATTGTGATCACTTCAAGATGGTTAGCTTTGTGAAAAAGAAGATGATGACAAGAGTTCATCTCTATAGCCCAGATCATACCTTTGCCTCATCTTTCTCTTGTCCTTCTCTATGAATCATGAAAGTTTGCATATTTTAGAGCTTATTTTTCTTTTTTATTTAATTATTTGTTTAATTATAAGCAGTGCAAAAGTGGAGCAATTTCAGAAAATCTCCGAAGAGCCTATAACTTTTAAGATATTAAGAGACCATGCTTGTTAATGGTTTTTTTTTTTTTCTTTTTTCCCCATTCTCTCTACCTACTATGTCCCTTCCTTAGGGACATTCAATGTTTTATATATTCTCAATTTCCTTATTCAATGCTTTTGCCGAGCTACTTTGTCTCACATTCATTCACCATTTTTTTTATCTTATTCAATCCTATTGATTTGTGCAATGTGCTTCTCTTTTCTCAGAGTTATTGCCCTTTTGTTGTGATTTTTCTGTCGAATACTGGATGGTGTTTTCCGTTGTTGCATTGTATGTGCTTGGTTTTGATGTGGTCTATTGATTTACAAAGATGTGCATCGGTAAGAATGACGGTGAATTTAACTTGAAGATTTCTCAAAAATGGATAAAAATGAAAGACCCAAAGCCTGAATCAAATTGAGCTAGCTTGAGATCAGGTTAAAACACATTTTTGTTTGAAAGTATAGACATATATTCATGTATGTAATTATATTTGTTTTTTTTTGTATATGCATGAATACATTTATATTTGTATATTTGGATGCATATATGTATGCCAAACTAAGAATTTGTCATTTAATATAAATTATTTTAAAAATTGAATTAATTTTAGCGCAAATCAAGCTTTTGATCAAATTCAACTATCTCCCCACTTATGATTGACTATTAGTTCCTCAAGAAATTTATCTTAGATCTCCCCACTTGCTGTTTCAAATTACTTAGTTTCATGCCAAATATAATATTATATATGCTGTCATGCTATAGCAACAAAACTCTGTTAAATTTTATATGGGATTTCAGGGCGTCCATGCTGTGAATCTTGGTGACAGTGGCTTCATTATAGTAAGAGATGGATGTGCTGTATTCCGGTCGCTTGCTCAGCAGCATGACTTCAATTTTACCTATCAGCTTGAGAGTGGAAATGCAAGTGACCTACCAAGCTCTGGCCAGGTCAGTTGATGCTTTCTTCCAACTGTCTTTCACTGTTGCTTAGTTTGTTTAGGGCTTCTTTTTGTAGCCATGATGTTCCGCAATGTGTGACATTTATTTGTTTAATAAGACTAGCATGCCTGATAGTCCTGCATCAATGCCTATGAACTTGACTCCTTCGTTTAGAGTCTCTAATATTTGAAACATCCGACACGAACCCAACCCGAAAATTTCGGGTTAGGGTCAACCTGGACCCGAAACGCGGGTCGGATTCGAGTTCAACAAATCGACTCATTTCAAAAACCGGGTCGGGTTTGGGTTGACTCAGAAACTCGAAATTGACCCATTTTTTATCCGAAAATTTATTTTTGACCAGGAAACCCGAGATCGACCCGTTTTTTATCCAAAAATCAAAGATTGACCTATTTTTTTATCAGAAAACTAGCAATTTTTGGTTGACCCCAGGTCATTTGTGTCATGTCGGGTTGACCTGGACCCAAAGCGCGGGCTCCGGTCCGAAAAACCGACCCGTTTGCAAAAATGGGTTGGGTTCTAGTTGAACCCGAAGAGTGCCAGTTCAGTTTTGAGTTGACCCGAACTCTACCCGTAACCCAAAATTGACACCCCTAGTCTCTAACCTAAGGTTTTTTTCTGATGGGTTTTCTCCCGGGTGACTGAGCACTTTTCCTCAATTAATGGAGGAACAAATTGTAGTACAACCCGTAAATATCCATCTTAGTACCTTACAATATATATACTTCTTGAAAAAAGTATAAAAAAGCAGATAACAACATGAACAAACAAACACACTGATTAGGAGTACAAGCAGCAAAAACTAGTTCATCTCTTTGCTATCTGGTTCCAGGTGTCTACATTCCCTGTTACGGCTGGAGATGTGATTGTTGCTGGAACTGATGGGCTATTTGACAACTTGTATAACAATGAGGTGTCAGCTGTTGTTGTTCAGTGCATCAGGGCAGGACTGGGCCCTCATGCAACGGCACAAAAGATTGCTGCTCTTGCCCGCCAATGTGCTATGGATAGGAATAGACCGTCTCCCTTTTCTGCTGCTGCTAATGAGGCTGGTTATCGATATCATGGAGGAAAGCTCGATGACATTACTGTCGTAGTTTCTTATGTAACTTCCACAAGCACTTGAGTTCCATGCTTTTCTTCTGTGAACACAACTCTTAGGCTTCATTTGGGACGGCTTTCTTACTGCTTCTTAAAACAGCTTTAAAAAACAATAAGAAAGCTGTCCCAAATTAAGCCTTAGTGTGTATTTGCGGAGCAGGTAATGTAAGCAATGCTCTTTTGTCAGTGTTTGGAATTTACTTCCCTTTACTGTTTTTTCCATTTCAGTGTTACTTGCAGTGCCTATTTCTGTTCTTGGTGTTGAATGCTCCTTTTGTTCATAGTCATAGACTCAGTGCATTTGTTTGAACTTTATTAGAAGCCAAGTTGCAGAGAGATGGAGTAAAATTGTGAGTATTTGAATTATTCTTTGGCTATTACGTGTTTGAATCATAGTATTTGAATCCACAAGCACTTGAGTTCCACTATTACGTGTAGTTAACTCTATATCATTAATCTGTTAGCTTTCAGCTTCACGACTGCCTGTGGAATGTGATTCTCATCATGATAAAACCCAAGTCTGGTAAAGATATATATGTTTAGAAAGCTGGAATAAGATGGAGCTGCATTACGTTAGATCTCTTCTTTGATATATATTGGAAATAGAATTTAAGAAGAAACTAACAAAATAATATACCTGTTGATGAGCCAACCTCATGAAATTGGAAATTGCTTGTATGAAATATGCTGTAACTTGCCTGCATGATGATAGGATTTTGTGCTTAAGGCTTCATTTGGGGCGACTTTTTTATTGTTTTTTAAAACAATTTTTTAGTATAAAAATTAAAATTTTATACTAAAAAGTTGTTTTAAGCAGCAATAAAAAAGTTGTCCCAAACGTAGCCTAAGACTCTTTTTGTGCTTTTCCATTGCTTAATCTCTCTTCGTTTTCAAAGTTAACATGAGTACTGTTTCTCACTGAAACAAACGCTCATAAAGAATGGGATTGAACTCTTTGTTTTGGTGGACCAATCAACATGTGTTGTATTGTTCAAATAAGGTTTAGAAGTTAATTCCAATTTCAAACTTTTCACACCAGATGTTCATATTGGTGCTTTATTAGTTTTGGATGGTTTTTGTTTTCATTATCACTTTGATTTTTCATTATGATTTTAATTTATGAACTCACTTTAATGCTTATAACAACATTTCAAATTTCCAAACCCTAATTCCCCATCATCGTTGTCGTCGTCATCGTCATCATCATCACATTTTTATAAATAAGTGGTGTTTTTTCTCCTGAAAAATGTGATTTTGAAAGTAGTATCTCATTAATTGCCTATCAATCATCAAGCTAATTCCAAACCACTTAAATAGTAAGCAATTACTTCATTGTTTTGTATCTGACCTCTCATATTCAATCACTTAAATGCTGAATTGCCTAAAGCTAAGATACTTATTAAATTATGGATAAATTATTCTGTGCGGACATCGGACGGTCCAGAGATTAATCAGGAACGTGTCACGTCACCTAGTATCGAGCACCGGTATAGAGCAAAAAAATGATGTGGCACATTCTGATTGGTCTCTTGACACTGTTTGACATCTGCATATAATAATTTTTTTCAAATTATGAGTCATTCTGTAAGCTATGTAAATTCCTTTATTGTAGATCATTACTTCTTTGCCTGAAACAAATTCTTTAGTATGTTTTGTTGAACTTTTCTTCATTGTTGCACGCACTTCAACACCATTGCTTCTATTAATTGTTACAGATTGTGCTCCTTTCACATTTATTGTTGTTGCTAATGGTTTTTTTGCTTGTGTTTATGTTATGCACCTATAAAATTGGCAGATTTATAGAATATTGTTGGTAAAAATTTAGATCAAAATATTTAATTAAGATGAATTTTATAGTCATTAAATGAATTTTAATAGTTAAACTTAGTATAATGTATGATTAAATGTTAAAATTTGATTAGTCATTCTTTATTACCATGGATTCTATTAAATGCATCAGAATGTGCTACGTTCATTTTTCTAGTTGTTGGTAATGATTTGATTTTGTTTAAGAGAGTTTTTTTGCTGGTTCTTAAAACCGTTTTTAATATAAGCATTTTAATTTTTTATATTTGAAATCTGCTTTCAGAAGCACTAAGAAAGTTATCCCAAGCGAAGCCTTAGGCTTCATTTGAAATATCTTTTTATTGTTTTTTAAATTAATTTTTTAGTTTAAAAATTTTTAATTAACAAA